ACTATACTAATATCATGTAAAATTTATATAAAATCAAATATTTACATACCTTACAATTGTTGTCGACGTGGTTTCATATTTTGAAACTGTTGAATAATCAATTCATTATCAATACTGTTAAAAACATCCTTTTCAATGTAGGTCACCAAGCAATCATTCATCCATTTATTTCTCATTCGGTTGCGTAATTAATTTTTCACAATCTTCATGGCAGAGAATGCTCTTTCTACTGTTGCTGTAGCAACGGGTAAAATCATTGCTAACTTCAATAGAAGATAAACAAGTAGATAAACAACATGTCTTCCCGTTTCAACTAATTTTTTGTAAGACTATTAATATCTTTCAGAGATGTAAATTCAACACTGCCATGCATATCAATTATGTAAGTCTCAAGCAGATTGTCAAGCATCACCAAATTAGTTGAAGAAAAGTCATGTGGATAAAATATGACAAACTTAATCAATTTGCTCTTGTCAAAACTAGAGAACGAGTTGCCTGGATTTAAACAAGCCATGCAAAGGAGCAATTCAGTATTTGTCTCAGTGAAACGATCATTAAGTTCCTGAAGTTGCATGTCCACAATAGTATAAAATCATTCAACTTGATAATGATGTTCTACTATAATATCTTGAGCTTTACCTTTGTGACGTGATCTCCCTTTAGACAAGAAAAGGTCTTCCATGTTTGGAACATCAATATCATGCAAATTACAAAACAGAGTTACTTCATCCAATAAAGACTCCCATCTATTATCTCTCATAACTTGTAATCGTTTCTTTGCAATGTTAACCAAATTCATGGCATTGACAATATCTATCTTTTCTTTGTAATGCCTGTGACAATTCATGTGAAATACCCAGTACATGTTTCATTAGATGTAAAGTAAATGCAAATCAAAAGCTTCTATCAACTGTAAGAGACCATTAGCCTCAGCTCTTTGGTCTGCACTTGAGCCATCTTCCTTTATAATTTCAAGCACATCAATCACAGAAGAATATATTACTGCTAGATTAACCAAAGTTGCATAATGAGAACTCCAACGTGTGTCAACACCTCACTTGAGACTAACTTCTTGGTTCAAGCCTCGTCCAGTGGAAATTTCTCCATTTTTCAAAGCTTCTCTAATTTTAGCTATTTGTTTTTCACGAAGCATATCAATTCTTTTGCAAGAACCCCCAACAACATTTAACAAAGTAGACACCAAATTGAAAAGAGAAGCAACTTGAATGTGATTCTTAGCAATGGCAACTAAGGTGAGTTGTAATTGATGAGCAAAGCAATGTACATAAAATGCACATGAATTTTCTTTTAAAATCAAACTTTTGAGACCACAAAATTCACCTTGCATGTTACTAGCACCATCATAACCTTGTCCACGGATACTAGATATACTCAACCCATGTGTGCTAAACAATTTATCAATTGCCCTTTTCAATGATAAAGCTGTAGTATCCTTAACATGCATTATGCCAGGAAATCATTCAACAATGCTTTCCTTTTTATTAACATAACGCAAAGCAACAGCCATTTGCTCTTTATTTGAATTGTCATGTGCCTCATCAATAATAATGGAAAATAATTCATTTCCAAGATCATTAATAATTGCATTAGTGGTCTCTACAGCAGCAGCATGAACAATATCCTTCTGAGTTTTATGAGCAATTAAACGACTATTTTCAGGAGCTCTGTCTAAGACAATATTTTTAATTGATTCATTGTGATCAGCAAGAAACTTTAGAAGTTCAAGGAAGTTACCTCTATTGGTTGACATACATGATTCATTATGACCACGAAAAGCTAATCCTTGCTTCAAAAGAAAGCGAATGTAGTCAATTGAAGCTGTCAATCGCTTTCGGTATAAGTCTCGAACTTGTTCATCTTGCTTGGCAATTGCAACTTCTATGTGTTGATTTTGATTCATCAAATCTTGACATTTCTTCCAAGCAATATTTTGAGCACTATTAGGGCCTCCAACATGAGATGAGAGTCTTTCTTTTTTATTTCAATTTGTAAATCCTTCCATAACAAATGAATCACCACCAGATTGCTTCTCAAAATCAAGTTTAAAAAGGTAACAACACAGGCAAAATGCTGCATCTTTTTCTATGCTATACTCTAACTAATTGCCAAATTCATTAAACCAAGAGGGACAAAATCTTCTCAAAGTCTTCCCAATTTTTCTTTGGGAAAAATTATGTTGAATAGGTTAACATGGTCCCTTTTGTAAATAAGCTCTTCTTATCTTATCCCTCTCATTAGGATGATAGGATGAAATTTTACTCCGTTTTCCTGGGTCCGATGGCAACTCTTTTAAAGATTGATTCTCTTGTTGTTGATGGTGGTGGTGAGGATTTGATTGATGATGTATGGGTGAAGATTGATGCTCCTCACATGGCACTTTTCTCTTTAAGAATCTTTCCATATTCTTTTCAAAATTCAAATAATTTGTGATTCACCTATTGTAAATCAAAATTATCTAATCAATATACTTAAAAAAATTATCTCATCATAAATAAATAATTAACTAAAAATAGAAATTAATTTTATAATTAACAAATAGGCATCTCATGATCCAATTATTCTTGAAATCTGTTGTCTCAAGATTCAAAATAACTACTCAGTACAAACAAAAGCAACTCACAATCAATTAGATTTATTTATATAGTATTCTATTGCAAGCCAACATTTTGATAATCTATTACAAGCCATGTGCAAGCCACTTTTGTCATTTTAATCTTTAATATTGATGCGCAAATGAAGTTCATTCCACGGTCAACACTCACCAACATTATCAAAAGTAAATATATTAAATAATTATTTAAAAATTAATAAATAACTTTCTATAGTCTTCTACCCACGTGCAAGCTCTCATTTTTCAATGACTTTTCCTTCTCAAATCACTTTTTCTACAACCTTTTCGTCTTTTTCCTCAATCAATCCCATTATCTCTCAGTCTCATCTCTGGCTCAACTGCTCAGCTTCTCTTTTTAGTTGACTCTCCAGTTCCATGATTTTCGTTCCCCCAAATCGACAGATTCAAACATGAAAGGGAAGTTTTTTCAACTCACAGCTCTCGACTGCTTGCTCTATGTTCATAATCAAGGAGAAGATTCAAGAAAAATTGGAAAGTACCTGAGTTTGGCGTGTTCTTCTTTTGCTAAAGCTTGAAGCTATGGTTCTCCAAAATCCAGTTCTTCGGTTCTCCTCCTGTGCGAGTCTGCCATCTTCTCTTGCGTATGGGGTCAACTGACTATTAGGGCACAATTTTTAAAAGCTAAGTTTTGTTAGATTTTATTATTTGAAATAATTATTGTTGAGGATGAGGTTTTGTCGTTTGGGTGAGGATCAATTGTTCATTTTTTGTTTTGTGGGCTTTATTACAAAGACTGAATTTGGGCTAAGTTTATTGCTTTGATTTAGACTAAATTTCTCTAGGTTCAAAAAAAAGAGTTGAGTGGGGGTAGGACGCAAATTTACCACATATATCCATGTAAATTTTTTATTTTCAAGGGGGGCATTTGCCCACATTGACCACTACGTAGGTCCGCCACTGAGTGTAGGGATGAAGAAAATGAAGCTTGCGACTGAATAAGGGAGGGAAAGGCTTGCTAGCAAAATCCTGTAGCTCTGGTGACTTAGCTTACCATACAGTAGCGGCACAATGAACAAGGAAGACAAGACAAAGGCGAGAGAGCGATGATAGAAGGATTGAGCTAAACAACATTGAAGAAGCAAAAGAAGAGTAATGACAACAAGCTCACGACAGAGTTAAGGCCTTCACTAGCAACACTGTGATGATGAAGAAGGGAGAAGAAACTGACGGAGGGTGGGAGGATGATCAGAGCTTTGTCTCTGTTAGTGGGTTCTAGAGAAATAGGAGAAGAAAATGAGGAGCAAATGACCCGCATGAGTTATATTTTCTGATGCAAATAAGGGCAAAATGATAAATATGGCCACAAGTTAAATTTTTCCCAATATTAAATTTTATATTTTTTATTCTTATTATCTAACATTCTAAATTTTATGTCATTTTAAATTTATTTAACATTTTTAAACATTTCTACTATATTATATTTGTATAATAAAAATTATAAATTATTATAAATCAGTATCCTTTTTGGTTATTATATATTTAAAAGTACATTTTAAAAACATAAATTTTTATTAATCCAAACAACTTTCAATTTATCAAACTGACTTTTGAAAAAATATATCCAAACACAAATTTGATAACAACAACTAACTTTCACTAAACTAACTTTTATCAAATAAACTTTCATTAAACTGACTTTTGACAAATTAAAAACCAAACACACATTATAGCTTTGACGTTTATGAAAAAAAAATTATAGGTTTGACTTTCTAATCATGAAAGTTAGGTGAGGTGAGAGCCAAACACGTCATTATAGTCAAGAAAACTTAGAATTGAATTTTCAAATTCAGAAACTGGTGACCTATCAAAACTAAAAAGGTCATCTCATGACTTCTTATGGCTTCTTGAAATTCTTCTTTACATGATAAACTCTTACTATTTTCATTTCCGCATGAATAGACAATGGTTTTTTCACTTATTTTTAACCAAAAAAAAGTTACACACACATCCTATAATTATTACAAGTTTTTTTCCCTCCCTTTACCCCATTAAATTTTTGTTTACATTGTTAAAAATTTTCTTGGGCTTCTCACTTATTTTTATAGGGATCAAGTTAAAAACTCATTAAATTTTTAAGTAGAATAATAATAAATTTTAAAGTTTTTCTTATGATGGAGTATTCCAAACTCCTATTGGGCACATAAATATGAAAATGACATAGATCTTAATTTTTTATGCTGTATTGTTGCACGAGTTTGGCAGCATGTCATGTGAGTTTGGCGAACTAATTGACAAAAGATTTCAAAGTCTCTTTATGTTTCTCCAAACCACACATCCTCGCTGCCTACTTCTCTATCTATATAAACACCAAGAAAACCCCCTGGATTCTCATCAAAGCTCAAACCAAAGCGTTCTCTCATATATCTTCCACTATTCTCCTCCTCCTTGTACAGTTGATAACTTAGCCATGGCTTCTTCTTCTGTGAAATCTTTCATCACAGCTATATTCCTTATGGCTCTGACAAGCATGACGCTGAGTTCGATTGTGGTAGAAGCTCGTCATCTTCTGCAAACGACACAGCCTTCGATGCCAAACATGCCTGGAATTCCAAGTAACTTGCCTAAGCCAACAGGATTGCCACCTTTGCCTTCAATCCCAACAAATAACATTCCTCCTTTGCCAACAAATATCCCAAATCTGCCAAAACCCAATTCTCTTCCTCCTCTTCCTTCTATGACCACCATTCCGAAAGTGCCACAAACCACACTTCCTCCATTTCCCACCATTCCTAAAGTGCCACAGGCCACATTTCCTCCATTGCCCAACATTCCTTCTGTTCCCACTATCCCTACTACTATGCCCTCCATTCCATTCTTCTCTCCTCCTCCTCCTAATTAAAACCACAAAATGACCAGTCACTTATTATTTTGTTCATCCCAGTGTTATTAGTTGTTTCATCTATTGTGGCTGCTACTACTCAGCAGCATATATACCTAAAATTTCACTTGTATTGGTTTAAATTGCTTTGTCTCGTATATGTCTCTGTATGTTAGGAAGAATTGTACGTGGCTACATGTCATTTTTCCCTTTACTTTTCATTTGGTGTGAAATTTGGGACATTGTGTGTATTTTTCTGTATTCCTTAGGCGTTCTTATTATTGATTGTAATCTTTTCCACACTTGCTATATACAATAATGCACTTGTGGCGATGTTCATCCACCTCGCTTGAAACTTCTAAAACCCTTGTCGTTCCCTATTAACTATAATTAATTAAATTAACGGTTATTCAACATTTTGCCCTTAAACTTTCCTATTAAGGACATTGAGTATCTTAAACCATCAAGTGGGGCGATGTCACCGTTGAAGTATTCAAAATGCATGGTACTATGTTGCCTCCACGTTGAGCATATATCATTTTGACCATTGGTTGACTATTGACTTGAAAAATTATGGAAAAGTCTTAAAAAATTACAAAAAAGTATTCTATGAGAAAAAATAATATCTATTAAATTCAAAAAATTGAAAATAAATATTAATGGGCTAATGTTATATTTCTGAACCATGTAAAAAACCAAAATACCGTTTTATAAAGTAACCACCTTGACTTGTTGTCAAGTTGGTAGAGGCATGAATCCTAAACCTTGTACCTATAGACCTTGTATGATATGAAGAATTGAGGGGGTATGATTGGGATTGGTATTGGTAATACCACTTTTTTATTTTTGGTATGGAGTAATAAGAAATTTAATCCCAATTCCAATCTCATTTATATGGGATTAATTACTCAATACTACCCACTCCTAATATTGGAAAATCAATCTTAGGATTGATTATTTTGCAACCGAATTGTCCTCCACCCCTACCCCCTTCTCTCTTCTCTCCCTTTACCCTTCACCTCTCCTCTCTTGCGTCTTTCCCTATGCCCCCCACCCTATCCGTCTTCTTTGGTAATCAATGAGCAATGAACGATGATAAGTGGTCTGGTGACTATCTCTTAGGACAATGATGAGCAGTAGTTCATGTTCTCTTTGTATTCTTCAACTCAGCGACGCACGATGATAAGAGATTTGGTGACTATCACGATGGGCAATGATGAGCGATAGTTCATCTTCTCTTTGTATTCTTCAACTTAGGGGTGTCGATGGCGGTTCGAGATTCCAGACTCCATCTTTGTTTTCTTCAATTCAGCGGCCGATGATTGTTCCAGACTCCTTCATGTCTTCAAACCCAGGTCCCCGCATTGGTAAGAGATCTAGTGATAGAGATTTGGTGAGTAATCCTCGAGCTCACGGTGACGACAAGGGAAAGGTGAAGGTGCATCATGGAGATGAATCTGGATTTTTTAAACTTGGATATGGATGTTTTGAACTCAGAAATGTGTTGTTTTCCTAGGTTTTCCTGAGACAAAGTAAAGCACGATGAAGATGGAAGGAAGGATGAGTTTGGGTTCAACAACAAGAGTGGAAAAAAGGAGATGAGGGGTTTTTGTGTCTTTTTTGCAATTTTTTTGTTTAATCCCAATCTCATTTTTGTCTAATCCCATGACATACCAAACATCATTTTAAAGCTTATTCCTACTCTCAATTCATTCCCAATCTCAATTCCAATCTCAATCCCATTCATATTCTTAGTCCTTTTAAATGCAATACCTTAATTATACCAAACAGAGCCATAATAACCTAGTTAGTAGGGAGTCTATCCTTGTGCCCTAACTAAAAATAAAAAAGGAACCTCATTCAATACTTACGCAATAGACTTGTAAATTACAAAAGTTTAATTGTAAATTATTAGCAAATGGAATTGTAAATCTTAAAGAACATACTTGTAAATAAGAGAAACGTTGTAATCAGATCCTTAGGTTATTGACTTATAAATTCCAAAAATATAGTTGTAAATTATCAATGGTGTAGTTATAAATTTAAAAAAAAAATTGAATAAAGACAGTAAGCAACACAATGTGTAGATTCTCATATCATTGAATTTTTAGAGATTTATATGTCATTTTACATTATTAAAAATTTAAGGTCTTTAATTGTGATTAAATTATTTTCAAGGTCCTTTTGTGTCATTTTCTAGTAAGCAAATGAAAGAAGGAAAAATGACAGTTAAGTCTAAGTGTCATTCTCTAGTAAGCAAATGAAAGAAGGAAAAATGACAGTTAAGTCTAAAAAACCAAGAATTAATAATAGTTACTCCCTCCATTAAAATATGTAAGATATTTTTAATCAAATCTCACCCTCAATAAAGTAATTACTTATCTTCAAATTAACTCTATCTTTTTATATTTATTCCTATTTAATAGAATATTTTACCCTAAAATAAATATATTTATTTACTCAATAGGGGCACTTTTGAAAAAAAAAAGATAATGATTATATCTAAAAAGATTAAAAATGTCTAATATTTTTTAACATCTAACCTTTTAAAAATTTCTTTACATTTTTGAATAGAGAAAGTATGTTCTTGATAAGAAAATTTTGAAAAATAAGTTACAAATATTGATTTAAATAATTGCAAATTCTGGATTTCTAATTGAAAATAATAAATTTAAAATTCTAAATGTAACTTTCAGTTTGCAATATAATTGAGATTCTTGCCTAAAACTATATGAATTAATATTTACAATTCATATTTCAGAAAAATTTTTAGGAATCCAGCTGTCACTAATTCTTTCTTGCAAAATTTTACTGTCATTCTTCCATAAAAGAATATAATTAAGTAGTCGGTCTTGTACGTTTTCCTCAGTTTATTCTAAAATTATTAGGTTTGACTTTCTAATCATGAAAGTTTGGTGAGTTGAGAGCCAACAACACCATCGTGATCAAGAAAACTTGAATTGAATTTTCAAATTCAGAAACTGGTCACCGATATCAAAACTAAAAGGCATCTTCTCAAGACTTCTAATTATGGCTTCTTGAAATTCTTCTTTACATGATAAAATCTTATTATTTCCATTTCCATAAATAGAGAATGGTTTTTTAACTTATTTTTAACGGAAAAAAATCACACAAACCACATCCTATAATTATGTTGTTGCAAGTTTCTCCCTTTACCCTATTAAAATATTGGTTTACATTATTAAAAATTTTCCTGGGCTTCTCACTCATTCGTATATAAATAGGGGTATAGTTAAAAGTTTAATAATTTTTTGGTTAAAGTATACTTTTAGTCTTCTAACTTTATATAAAATTTTAATTTGATCATTTAATTTAGTAAAATATCTTTTTGGTCTATGACCCTAATTATTAATTAGTTTTAAATGATTATTTTTTGCATCAGTCATTATTATTTTGAAAAAAATTAAACTTAATATATCAATATTTGAGACTGTTTTGTCAATATTTAAAAGTTTAATATAAAAATTTATTAGGATAAAACTAATAGTATTAGAATTAAAAAATTAAAAAGATACTTGATAAAGTTAAAAGATTAAAATAAAACGTTGTATAAAATTAAAGGACTAAATATATATTTTAACCTAAAATTTTTAAGATATTCTTTAGTTTTGATGAAACATGTTATAAGTGACTATTAAATAAGACAAGCGGAAGTCTATGCTATTGTGTTGAACTCTCGAGGGTGCACTTAATGTGAAAATGGCAAATTTGTCCTAAATTAGATCCTAGTTTTTTATTCTGCGTTGCACGAGTTCGGCAGCATGTCACTAATTAATTGCTATATATTATATAGACAGACTCTTCCGGCGTCGATGACGGATGTGAGTTTGGCGAACTAATTGACAAAAGATTTCAAAGTCTCTTTATTGTTCTCCAAACCACACATCCTCACTACCTACCTCTCTATCTATATAAACACCAAGAAACCCGCCCCCATGGATTCTCATCAAAGCTCAAATTAATCAGCAAAGCATTTATCCTCATCATCTTTCTTCATTCTCTTCTTTCATCTTCATAATTATATACTCAGACATGGCTTCTTCTTCTGGGAAATCCTTCATCACAATTCTATTCCTTATGGCTCTCACATTCTCAAGCATGATGATGAGTTCGAGTGTCGCAGCAGCTCGTCATATTCTCCAAACGACACAGCCTTCGATACCAAACATGCCTGGAATTCCAAGTAACTTACCGAAGCCGACAGGATTACCACCTTTGCCTTCAATCCCAACAACACTGCCTCAGCCAAATAACGTTCCTCCTTTGCCTACAAACATTCCTAATCTTCCTTCCATGCCTTCCATCCCGACAGTGCCGCAGGTTTCTCTCCCTCCACTGCCATCCTTAAACTCGTTCCCAAACATTCCCTTTATTCCCACTATCCCTACCACTATGCCCTCCATCCCATTCCTCTCTCCTCCTCCTTCTAATTGAAAACACAACATGGGTTCATCCATTGTTAGTTGCTTCATCATCTCTTGTTTTCACTACTATACTCAGCAGTATGTTAGCCGGCACACATATATATACACGTATAATTTCTTTTGTATTGGTTTTTAAATTGCTTTATCTCGCATTTCTGTATGTTTGGAAGAGTTGTAACTTGTGCGTGTGACTTTTCTTGTTATCACTTACTATGAATAATACAATGATGCAGTTATCGTGCGATGTTCATTGATCTCCTCTAAAACTTCTAATTAAACACTGTTCACTAATCAATGCTCTATTAACTATAATGAAGTTGGCCAACGGAGAGAGAGATTTATGTTTCCTAAGGCTTGGCGTTGGCTAACTAAAAGAAAATGATGGTCAAAGTTTTCACAAAATGCAGTTGTTGTAAGGCAAATTAATTTTTCCTTCTTTAGAAACACAAAAATGTTGAAGAGCGAGCTAAATAAATCCCAAGGACATCAATAATAAGATTCCCATGATATTCATAATCACATGTTTGCTATGAAAGGTCTGTTCAGGGATTATTGGAAATTATTATTAAAATTCAAGTTTTTTTTTAATGAAACAGATAACACTTGAAGTGATACACAGATGTTCATAACTCTCTGAATGTGTAAAATTTTTACCAATAAAAAGTGTAAATAATTAATCAGAAATGAGAAAATAAAATTGTATACTAATCTTGGTTCGATTTTTCCCCAAATAATTAGTCTTCATCGAAATCATCAATGGGCATGAAATGTAACTTATTATTCCCTATATATATATATATATATATATATATTTTATTGATCATAAATATTCTTTTATTAGAGGCAATCCTATTTGAAGTTATTATTTCCTATATTTTAATTGTGGATCACTATGTAT